CTTCACCTATATTATAAACTCAAGTCAGCAAGGAATTCACCGGATATCCAAGCCTCTTTTATTTTTTTCCCTTCAGTAATACTCTTTCATTTTTATCTTAACCTCCCATATTTTCATGTGCCTTTGTTCATCCTCCAAAATATATTTTTCTCGGGCAACAAAACTCTTACTCATTTTTTAGATGACTCAAATAGTGTACCTAAACTAAGATGTAATGCTTCTGATGAAAACATATTTCATCAAATACCATGCATTTACATATTTTAAACATTGTGCCACTCTTATCGGTCAACAAATACTTGTTAATAGATTTTTAATATAATCATATATTTCTTTTCAAACTTATTTTCCTATGCATCTTGCATCGTTGTAGACTCGTAGCATAGAATATTGATAAAAATTGTGGTGTGAGAATGGTTTCATATAACTCAAGGATTCCCCACTAATTGTACTAGATTTATTTTCTACGTAATATATACTAGAAATTATTATTATCAAATACATTTTCAAAGATCACAATCTATATTTACAGCAACCTCACGAATTTTTATAATTTGCAGCGATTCCAAATTTCCTCAATTTTTTCATGATTATTTTTCAACCTTTTCGAATTTTATGTAGTTTGTGTACAAATCAATTTGGGAATATATTTTGGGAAGACTTGTGGCATAAAATATTAATAACTTTTAGTAGTTTTAAAGTAAAAATCGACATCACCGACATCCAATACCAAAGAAATTTCGAATAGATTTTAGGGTGTTTCAAAATTATGCGGATATAAATCTTACTCAATTTTACGACCCTACAAATAAAATGAAACCATGTGCTTTAATCATTCATCACAAAATAAATTTATTACCCTCGGGGTTTAATACCTTTTTATACTTACAGATTTTATAGTATTCTAACTTCAAGGAATATATTGAACTTGATTGAATCCGTCGTGATTGTTGTTGGAAATCTTCTTATTAATATTTCAACTATTGGTTTACGAATATACAATTTTGGGTCATTGGATAATAGGTCTACAAATAATCATTAATAAATAAATAAATTAAATATATATTTGGCTAGATCAACCAACTTGTACCAAAAGTTGTTTCAATTGATTTCACCCACATTCAAAGTTATTCAAAAGCTTTACCATTACATCTTTTCAGATTTTCCACAAAAAATAACTAATGTTATATTAATTTTGATAAAGTGCAAAGTTTATAGAACCCAACATCCTCTTCCGATGATATTTTTGCAGTCTTCAATGAGGATTCTTTGTAAGTTATTATTTTTTATGTCCTATCTATTGCTTTTCCATGTTCATTTTATTGCCGCCGAGGGTTTGCCCGCACGAAGTTGCAAGGATGAACATTCTTGAGTATTTTCTTGCTAACATATATTTCAAAAAATTATTGTCAAATACATTTTCAAAATTAACAATATATATTTACACCATGCTCACACAATATAATTTATAGGAATTTGAATTTTTGCTTAATTTCTTCATGATTAATTTTTCAACATCTTTAAAATTTACGTACATTGTGTACAACACTAGTTTACGACCATTTCAGTAGCATCGGAAGCGTTGTTGCATAAAACATTTATGAGTTTTTCTACCCTTAAAATAAAAATAGACTTCACCGACTCCCTACACCAAAGAAATTTAGAATAGGTTTTAGGATGTTTCTAAATTATGCAACTAAAACTCTTACTCAATCCTGTGACGCTACAAATATACTGAAAACATGTGGTTTAATCATCACAACAAAAACTAATAAACCTCGGGTTTTACTACATTATTATACTATAAGATTTTCTACGATTCTAACTTCAATGAAGATTTAATCAACTTGATTGAACCCGTTGTGATGGATTTTGGAAATCTTTTTTACTAGAATATAAACTTCGCTTGCATCCAGTTGCAACGAAAGTGGTAGAATTTATTTTATGAGTTATAATATGGTTCATCCAACAAACTATTCCTTCTTTGTTGAAGTCTCCACGTTAATTTGCGGGACTATGGATGCTGCTTTTATTGTGTTCGCATTATTTTTCGTTTCTATTTGTTTTTATTGTTCTATGTATTTTTTTTTTCAACATGGTTCTATAACAGCTTTGCTGATTATTTCACTTTTATCTTTGTTTCATTACCTTGTTTTTTGCTTTGCTGTATTTGACATCAAAATTTCTTAAATTAGAGATGGAAATGGTGTTTGATTGTGCTACAAAGACGATGTTGCTCATTAACACTATTTCATTATACAAACTGTTTTACATAATGTTTACGATGATAGTTTTTCCATTTAAGTTCCCCATGGCTACCACTTTAAACTATCAAAAAATACGCTGATTACAGTTTACCTCTAAACTTTACAGCAACAAAACGATGTACAGAAAATGGAATCCAACCAAAACATATAATTGACATATTCAAATTGTTGTAATCATTTTTTCATTATAGAGTTCAAAATTAGATATTGAACAATTTCTAATTTAATATCTT